GAATTTTCGTAGTGCTTTCTCATGACACGGCACTCGATGGCCGGGTGGGCAGGTGCGACTTATATACGTTTTTTTTTTTTCGGAAAAACTGCCATTTTGAGGTGGGTGCGACTTATAGACCGGAAAATATAGTATACATTCTATGGTCACCAAAAAACATGTACTTTTTTCATCGTCTGGCCAACCTATTGGCTCTCGTTATTAGAAGCACAAGTTAGCTGGGCATAGAATAGATGTTCTGTTAAAGGTAGCTGACCATGTCAGAACATTCTTATACGCTGTCAATTAAATTAGATAGAAATGATGTGGGGCCAACAAAGACTACGTGGCTGCCAGAAATACACTTAAAATGCGCGGCATTGAAAAACAGCCACATGAGTGCAGAAAACTTGAGGCATGAGTGCACTCCCAAATATATTTACTGAAGAGCTAACGTAACTGAATAACACACGACCATAGCTTCACAAAAAGCTGACCCTACAGCAACTGGCAACATTGCAATGTTACACTGAGTTAGTGGAAAAAACAGATAACACGAACAGTGCCGCAGTAAAATAACCAACGAATGCCCATAATGTGGCTGTAGGCTGTAAACATAAAAGCAAGAGTTCTGTGTTGGATTTTCGAGCTAATCAAAGAAAAGGCAAAAAAGTTAGCAAATTTTTCTCAAGAAAGAGCTTGCTGCCTCATTTTTCACGAAACTTTATAAAAATTGAATCTGCAGTATAACCCAAAAAAAGCAATCGTACATGGATATGTTGATAATACCAGAGAAAGGACATAAATCGAGCAGCAAACACTGCAGCAGCAGCAGCGTTATTCTATGGAATATCGAAGAAATTGATACAGCCAGAAGCATTTCCAATAGGAGAGAGTACAATTTGGTCGGAACACCTTACAATGTTATTGACAAAGCTAATCGTTGCACTGAAGGTGTATGGCCTATCTGTCTAAGCATTGGTCTGCGACTACAGCAGCAGTGACTATTTTTTCAAGGACACTGGGTGTAAGCCCTGACAAGTCTTTCCATTGGTAAAGAGATGACTTACATTTTTTCATATCCCCACCTGTTCAATGTTGGAGTAATTTTGGAGTAAGCATGATCTATTGCTTTGCGGAGACACATTAAGACTTTGTATAAATCAAAACAGCACCAAAAACTTCTGGGAGAGCACAGGCGTGGCCAAAGGAGAATCTGGTCTCTCCGAAAAAGACCCCGCAGCCTCTTTCCAAGGACCCCTCATCGCACGGCCAGCGTGCGCCATTCCCCCTTCCCAGCTCGCGGGACAGAATTCCTCTTCCTTGGAAGGGGTATCAACCCTTGCTGGGGAGAGGGAAATCGGAGGTTTAAGGAAATCAGCAGGCAGAGAAGTAGATGGCTCTCTGATACCAGCCAGCAAATGAGGATGTTGCACCTTCCGACAATGTGACTACGATATATTCAGTTTTCGAATTCCTTCGTATTGCGCAGAACTGCCACTGCACTTGCTAGGTGCTGGTGCTGCAGTCGCATCGAGCTTCAGAATGCTGTGCACCGTTGTAGTAGAAGCATTGGTGTACTCTGGCGGTGCTGCTGTAGTCCTATCGCCCTTTTACAGCCTTTGTGGCACTGTGTGGTAATGTTGTCCGACCTAGGGAGCCTACATACGCCGTGCCTTCGTCGTTTAGGGTAGTGCCACTCTTTGACACAGCTCGTGCCGCCTCCCGCCGTCGGGCAGCGTTGCCAGCACACGGCGCCATCTTGTGCCCCAGTCGGTTCACTGCCGCCGTGTGCGCGTGTCTGCGTGCGTGCCGCCTGAAACTCGCTGTGACTTTTGTTGACCACGGGAAGCTTTTCGTAACCATGCCAGCTCGGTGAACGTGTTGGGAGTTGTATGAGCACCGAAAATGCCCGGCTGTTGCGTTCAGCAATGTACGAACCATTGCAGAAAAGGCATACGGATGTTCCGCTTCCCGGCCAGCCCGAACCGAAAAAAGCGCTGGCTCATACAAGTGAAAAGGAACCGCTGAGAGCCCACTGCTGCTTCTCGTGTTTGCGCTGTGAGTATTGCACCTCGCTTCATGTTTTTCGCACGCGTACTTGCAGCTATATTCTATTATGTAAGTGCTATGCACCTGCAACCCTTTCAGCGAGCGTCGTCGTGTCCTCAACCTCTCTTCCGTCGCCGCAGCGCCGTTGCGCGTCGGTAGCGGAGGCCATGGCCTGTTTTGATGGCTTCCAGCGACGGCTGCGTGTAGCCGAGCGGCAATTTAGCGTGCAAATGCAGCGTGCGCCCAAGTGGATGCTTTGCGTGGTTCGATTATGCCGGATTACGCATGCATGGAACGTGAATGATCAAAACTAAGCTTGGTTGTAAAACATCCCCGAAAGGCCCGGACCGTTCACGCTTGCTAAAAAAAAAAAAAAACTCGATTCTCGTCACTGCGACAAAAATTGGTCGAGACCAAGCGACAAAAGCGGTCACTAAGTGGCTGCCAAATCTTCGAACGCGCTGCAATTCAGAGTTCGGCAATCGATTTTGAAGCTGCCGTGGGCTGGATATTCATCGGGTCGCCGAAAAAATTGGCTGGCGATCTCCCCCTCTACCGTAGACTCTCCTCGTAGGTGTTGTAAAATCCCCCACTACCGCAGACGGGCAATCGTTCCCTGCGTTGCTTGTGCTGATATTCCGCGCGGGGGTGGAGTATATGATTGATTCTTTCTTGCAACACTGCCAAACTGCGTACGAGGGGTCACTAAAGTCTGCAAAAATTTCTGTGGCGAGCTGCCCCATAAAAATTCCCGTACTGCAATTAAAGGGCATAATCAATTTCCATTCCAAAAGATAAAAAACGCGCGAAAGCGGGCATTCTGCCTCGCTAGCAAGTAATTCAAATGCATTATGTGGTTTTCAAATATTGTTAAGATTGACTTTTTTTATTCTAGGCACATTTTGACGATTGAAGTTTTGAGCAGCACCGACAAGATGGACTGAAAAAGCTGAGGCCGGATGCTGTCCCAACTCTCTTTCCCTATTGTGGTAGAACATATCCGAACTCGTTATATGAAGCCGTAATATGGACACAAATTTAATTTTCCTTTGAATTTGTGAATCTACTTTGGGTCATTCAGAGAAAAGACAAACTCATCTAAATGCATTGTCTCAATTGCACTGTGGCGTTTCGCTCTTATTTTTACTCGGAACATCTATAAGAAACAGTAATATGCTTCGTGTGGTGCAGACCATGCAAAAAAGTGCATAACATTTTGCTTGTAATTTTAGTCTGCAAAGCGAAAATGAGTATTGGAACTGTTTGCTGAGTGAGATTGCATAGGCAAGCATGTTATTGTAGTAATGTTCGTATGTTTAATTTTTTCCAGCTTCTCCAAAACACTGGAAGTCCCCGAAAAAGCGCACTTCTGCCATGAAACCTATGAATTCTTCTAACACCAAACGTGTTTGCCCATCTGGAGACATTCCACAGCTGCCTATGGATCCTTGCGACATAACGAGTTTTGAGAATGGTGTTCAGTTGAGTGCTCATGTTTCAGCAGCCGTTTTACAGCCAGATGCTTTTCCTCATGACACTGCTGACTTCGCGAGAGGTGATCCTCCAGAAGCCCACTTGCTGTCACGTTTGCCCACCAACAAGGCAGCAAGCATCAGTACCAGTGATCCCAAGTCCAGGTTTGCTCACGCATTGGGAGCCGTCTCATTTCCTCTACCGCCTACAAACAATCTAGAAAGTGATGCGGACAGTGCTGCTGAGTGTAGGTGCGAGTGTACATCCGTGTCTGTGCCCCTGCCATTTGTTCCTCCAGCCAATGACGCAGACAGCGCTGGTGAGTTTCGGTGTCATCATGAGACAGTAGCCGCCTCTCCACGACACCTGTCTGCCAACAATCTAGCAAGCGACACAAAGCATCAGTACCAGTGATCCCAAGTCCACGCTTGCTCACGCATTGGGAGCCGTCTCATTTCCTCTACCGCCTACAAACAATCTAGAAAGTGATGCGGACAGTGCTGCTGAGTGTAGGTGTGAGTGTACATCCGCGTGTGTGCCCCTGCCATTTGTTCCGCCAGCCAATGACGCAGACAGCGCTGGTGAGTTTCGGTGTCATCATGAGACAGTAGCCGCCTCTCCACCACACCTGTCTGCCAACAATCTAGCAAGCGACACAAACGCTACTCCAGGTGCATCCGTAGCCATTCTGAAACAGCTCCCTCCCAACACCATAGCAGATGATGCAGCTCTCACTCCTGCACAAGAGCAGTCAAACATGCCAGCTGCATTTATGTTTGGAGGCAGCACAACTCCCACATTGTCGATGTTGCATCGGGAAAATTCCGAGCTCCGGAAAAAAACGCCGACTTAAGCAGAAGGTTTAAAAACTTGATAAAACTGCATGAGCAGATGAGATCAAAAGTACGTAGTCTAAACAAGAAACTAAGGTTAGTTCAGCAAGAACTGAACGCATTAAGATCATCGACATTTCTTGCTGCAGATCAAACGAAGGCTCTAACAACAAAAGGCAGGGTTCGCAAGTGGTCAGTTCAGACTATACGCGTAGCCCTCCAAATAAAGCACGCATGTGGTACAACAGGCTACGAATTGCTCAGGTCTCTGTCGTACCCACTGCCATCTAACCGGACATTGATTCGAAGAATGCAAAACATTCGCTTTCTGCCTGGTGTACTTACTGAAGTGCTGGGTGTTCTAAAGCGCAAGGCAGAAACAATGAAGGACATTGAGAAAGATTGCGTCCTCTTCGTGGATGAGATGGAAATTAGTCAAGGGTTTGAACATGACCGCTCTCTGGATTGCCTTTTTGGGGGTACGACACTTCCAGAGTCAACTGACAACGTTGCAAACCATGCTCTCATGTTTATGATTGGAGGTCTAAACACGAGGTGCAAACAGGTCATCGCTTACCACTTCACTGGTCGTTCTACTGATGGAAGCCTTTTAAAGGAGCTTATATTTCATTTAATTACGCTTTGTTTTAAGGTGTCCTTGAGAGTTCTTGTTGTAACAAGTGACATGGGAAGTGCCAACAGGAAAGTGTGGCAGCTGCTGGAGTTTTCAAGTCACAGGCACTCGGAAACTGTCTGTTCTATACCACACCCTCACTTGGATGGTAGGGAGCTGTATTTCATGGCTGATCATTTTGTATTTCATTCCTGCTCACGTTTTGAAAAACATGCAAGGGCAGCTTCTACGCTCAGGAAGTTTTACCCTGGGGAAGGAGACGACAGAGGAACATTGCACCCCAGGAAAAACTGTTAGCCTTGAACATGTTGAGGCTGTTCTCGAATATGATAAAAAAAATGACCTCAAAATCGCTAACAAGCTGTCAGACATTCATGTCAGCGATGGGCATTTCGCAAAAATGAAAGTAAACATCGCCGTGCAGTTGTTCCGTGAGGCACCTCCTGCCATTCGCTACCTAATCAAGCTCAAAATCTTGAAGCCAGAAGCTGAAGCAGCTGCCTGGTTTTTTGACCTTGTCACTAAGTGGTACACTTTGATGTCATTACGACACCCCATCGTTGCTTTAAGTCATTTTGACCGCGCAAAGCACCAGGAAGCAGTTGGGACATTGCAGCTGGCATGTGCTACGTTCACTCGGATGAACATGGCAGCAACTGCACACTGGAAGCCATCGCAGGCCGGTCTTTTGGTGTCGATGACTGTTGTGCTGCGCCTGTCAGAGGAGCTCCTAGCGAGGCGTGGGTACTTGTACCTCCTCACTGCTAGGCTGATACAAGATTGCCTAGAAAACATTTTTTTCAGTTGTGAGATTAAAGAAGCCAGTTCCAAGTGCGTATGATGTTAAATGTGCACTGAAGGCCATATGTGTCAGCAAGTTTGTACACACCCCTAAGGCTTCGAGCTACAACATTGACCACAGCAGTCATCTGGCTGACTTGCTTGACCCAAGCTTAAAAAAGCTAGAGGAAGACCCCATTCAGCAGGCTGAGGAGTTAGAGAACTTGTTTGTGATTGGTCTGACGGAAGCAGAGTGCGACATCGTAGCGTATATCGGTGGTTTCCTTCTGAGGTCTGTCTTAAAGTTTATACCCAACTGCAAAAGCTGTAAAGCAGTACTGACTGACAGTGCTTTTGGGAAATACAGCAGCCTCATCCAGTTGAAGGAATACGTGAAAAATGTTGGAAATCTCATCCAGCCAAGCATGTCTGTAATGACAATTTTGATGGATTGTGAAGAAAACTTCAAAACTTTTGCTGAAATGTGTGAAGTCATGAAAGTGAAAAAACCATTTTCAAGCACTCTAAGTGCCCTGCAGAAGTCTGCAAAAATGCACTTGGGATATTGCAGTTTGCACAAGCCTAACGGTGTATTTCCAGAGCAGTTAAAAGTGGCAAAAGTCACTGCAGTACACAAAGGTGGTGATATCAATACTTTAGCGAACTATCGACCTATATCGGTGCTTCCAACAATATCAGAAATATTTGAAGGGGTTATTTATGATAGACTTGCATCCTTTTTTGATAAGCACCAAATAATAACAAAAAGTCAGTATGGTTTTCAAAAAAATAAATCAACAGAACAAGCTCTACTGTATATCAAAGATAAGATAATCGAAAATATGGAAAACAAAAAATACACTCTTGGGCTCTTCCTCGATCTTCAAAATTTGACTCCATACAATTCAAATCATTGATTCATAAATTATCAAGTTATGGGGTGCGTGGAGTTGCACTACAACTGTTTAAAAGTTACCTAAAAGATCGTTATCAATATGTACAACTGAATAACACTATTTCTGCAAAGATAAAGTTGAACCAAGGAGTCCCCCAAGGGTCTATACTGGGGCCATTATTGTTCCTTGCCTATATAAATGATATTGTTGATATACCTCATTCTCCTGAACTTATAATGTACGCTGACGATACGAATGTTTTCTTTTCATCAGACAATCTAATATCACTTGAGGTCAGTGTAAATAATTATCTAAGCAATCTTTCAAATTGGTTAAGGCAAAATGGACTGCGCTTGAATGCAAAAAAAACAACCTATATGATATTCCGACCTATAAACAAACTTATTAGTAACATAGCTGTAAAATTCGAAGAAAATTGCATCGCACTTGTTAGGGAACAAAAGTTTCTTGGTGTATGGTTTCAGGAGGAATTAAACTGGTACACACATGTAAATCATCTGATCACCGCATTAGCGCGAATAGTTGGTTGTTTTTTTAGAACAATGCACTTAATCCCATTGAGGTTAAAAATAAGTATGTACTATGCACTCTTCCATTCTAAAGTAAGTTATGGGATGTTAGTCTGGGGAACGACATCACAAGGGAATTACCATAAGTTAATAACTATACAAAAGAAAATATTGCGCTGCTTTGAAAAATACAGGGGGAATCTACAAGACTTGCGCACTGCTCCACTATTCATTAAACATTCCATACTCAGAATTGATCAATTATATCATTTTAAATTGCTTCAATTAATACAAAAGACTAAGCTATATGAAGAAAGTTGCACCGAAAGACCACACTACAGCCTGCGAGAACAAAAGAAACGAGCTCCTAGAACAAGAACCAAGTATGGAAAACAAAGTATTGCTTACCAGGTACCTCAGGTTTTAAATACCCTTGCAGATCAAGTGAACTTTAGGGCTAGTAGTGCGACTTTCAAGAAACAAATAAAGAACTTATTCATAACCACCGGTCTACACTATCGAAACTACGTAATGGAGTCTCATGCTTCTGCAAATGCTAAAATTGTTCATAAACTTCTATGTCAATTATACGAGTGTATACAGCGCAATTCATTGTATCCGCATGCATTTTGTGTCTGTTTTTGAGTCGTTTCATTGATATCGTTTAGTTGTGAATTTTTACGAGAGTGACCTCTAATTCTTAAAATGTGTTATGTAAACTTCTTATGCTATTTATGTTTGAATTTTGTGTTTACAATTTAAGGTTGCTTGAAACCAATGTATTGAATATATATATTGTTTGTCAGTGCTGATGTCTAAGCTTTGCACTGTCACGGACTGCGGAGGGACAAGGGCCTTTGTCAGGCTGTTCGCCTTTAGCCCTTTGCCCCTGCAGTGAGCTCTGTATCCGGCTTACTGTAAATAAAAATACTACTACTACTACTACTACTGTAGAGAAGCTGCTTCTCGAAAAATATGTCCGAACAAGACTAAAGATTTACCTCAGGCAGCAGCATAAACACAGAGTAAATGGGGCAGCAAGCAAAACCTGTGCTGCGGCAAACTTGGAGTAGTTCAGCAGCCAGCTAGAACCGTAGAGCGTACGCAGCTGCGATCATTTTTTTTATGTGAGGACACTTGAATGACTTGGGTGGTACACGCTCAATCATAATTTAGGACTGCCTTTGTTAAGGACTCTATGCAACTTCATTGCCGTACAATGATGATAAAGGAAAATTGATGCTTATTTGCATAATTTACATTATAGTGTGTTCAAAATAGCTGTAAAATATTTTAATGCTAACATTTTCTTTTGCTGTTCCTCAGTACCAGCCCGAAAAAAGCATTCAAAACCAGGAACACTGGTATGCCTTCATTCACATTGCACCTTTCTCTTGAGACGTTGCACTCCATTGTGGCAGTTGCTCACGACGTGTTTTTATTCTCGACTAATGTCATGTAATTTTCAGTGGGGTAATTTAAATTAAACCAGTGGGGCTTGGGGGATTTTCTTATCGATTTATTTCCCCAATATTTTGGTTCATGTATGTATCTGTGCTCAAAGTCAAACTTATGCAGTCGTTGTGTAAAATGCTTTCTTCTCAATTTATCAGTGTAGCAAGCCGTATTTTTCTCTACTTGCTTTCTCTTTCATTAGTTATCTCTGCGTTGGTCTCCTCAGCATTGTCCACCTGTGTAGCCCATCTGGGCTTTAATCTTGCTCGTTGCCTGTGTGTTCAGTTTTTTTTAAACAGCTCCATTGGAAAAAAGTCACAAATGAGTGATATCACTTTTACATGCGTTAGTCTGCTACATAAAGTGCTTTTTGAAATTCGATGCCTTTATTAGCTCGGACACATTTACTTTGTGTGTTTGTTGTATTTCCCATGTACGCCTGTTGTTCAAGAAGGGGGCATCTGCATGTCACGCAAGCAGTGCAATAAAATAATTTTACGTGAATTTTGTCTTGCTTTATGCGTGTAACAAAAGCACGCTACAAGGCATGATGACTTGGATGTTCAGCCATAGATGTAATATTTTGTGTTGCCACCTAAAAACATGTAGTGCCTTGTATCTGCACAAAAATGCGTAATTGAATAATAGTGCATAATAAATAAAAGGGTAATAGTGCCAAAACAATTAAAATGATATAAAAGGCAAAAACCAAAACTGAAAATGAAATTACCGTCTCTCTAATTAGGCGCCATCGTGCAATTACCTCAACACAGAACCTTTCCGGGTTAAGAACGACGGCGAAGCAAAGCGACATAAAATCCCCGGCCATTTCTGCGCTTCTACGTGCTTCTATGTGCAGCCAGTGCCTCCAAAGGAGGCACTGGCAAGCTTTTACCAAGGACGTGAATGCCGCATTAAACGAATAATCCCACGATCTCAACTGTTCCTAGCAGCAGGAAGTTTTTGGAAAGCTTCTTGGCGATAACCGCTAATCACGTACGATCGTTTCGAAGCAGGTCGTTCTAGAGATAGTCTGTTCCGCGCCTACGGAGGCGCGGCGCATGCTGGCTCCCTGTGTCGGGCGGGCACTAGGGGACCAATATGGCGGCCCCGCCGCAGCCACCGTTAGGCAACCTTAGACTCTGCTGTCGCCACCCAAAGCGACGACGGCGCGGCGTATGTAGGCTCCCTAGTCTGACCATGTGTCGGCGATTTGTTCAGGTGTAAATGCTGCGATTTTTGTGTGCAGACCATGCCAACTCATAGCGTGCTGGGTTGCACGAGCAGATACTGCAAGCAGCTCAGACCGGCATTGTCTCTACGTTCCGTCCAACACGAGCCCTCGCTCAGCGTGGCCCAAAGCAGTTTCACATGCAAACCAGGAACAGCAAAATCAATGGTGTGTGCCCTTCACTTTCATGAACAAGACATATCTCCTTCAACATATAGCTGCGCAGGGTTCGCCTTCAAAAAGATGTGATGTGGGGGGGGGCAAAGGTTTATGGCAGCAACTCCCATCCATTAAGTCAATGTGTGGGTAGATTTTAGCGTTCCCTCCCTTCCTCCTAGGTGAATCCTGCCCACTATCCTTATTAGCATTTTACATCTAGGACATCTATTTTTGTGACAAAACACTCCAGCAGACTTCACAATTACATGCTTTTATAAAATCATACAAATATATTACTTTTTGAATGCAAGACCATATCCATGCGCAGGGAACCTTTGCCCTCCCGTCCATCAGAAGCCCGAAGGTTCCCCGTTTCTAATGGCGCGTACGGTTGGGAGTTTACGAGAGCTCTGAAAAGTAGCCGTGCCCTCGGTTGGTGAAATTTGAACACTCAGACTCCTTTTGTTAGGTTTTTTTTTGGCATCAAACTCGAACTCTGAGCGCTCCCAACCGCTCAGACTTCAAAGTCGGAGCATGGCGCGTCATTTGGCCAAGAGGACGGCACAATCCGGCAACCACATGATCACGAATTACCTAGTTGCCAGCAGGTGACAGTGGAAGCGTGCATTTTGTACAGTTACAGTGGACGACTGATATTTCGGACGCCTAAATTTTCGGACATGCTCGATAATTCGGACATTTACTTGGCACCAGGACACACCCTATAAATTCAATGTATTTTGCAGCTTGAAATTTCGGACACTTAAGGACGGGCTGTTCGATATTTCAGACTTTCCAAGCGTCAGTCAAGCCGACTACCATCATTTTTCGCACCGCCGCGATCTTGCTTGTTTACTTTTTCATCCAGTAGCTTCGAACCGGTGCTGGCCATGCGAGTGGCGTCCGCCAGCCTCTGCTAGGGTGGCTACCTCGAACTGCTGGATCGAGGCTATTTTCGCATCAGCATTGCTGCCGAACAATATTTCTTTCCTCCCTGCTGTGACCGTTAGATGGACTGGACCGAATCGACTGACTGTTCGCCTGTGCGTGTGCCATGTGTGTTGCCTAGCTACAAGCGCTGATTCAGAATGGATAAGGGATCGCCGATGTCGTTGGCCTCTAGAGCTCCGATGAAGCGCGGAAAGTATGTCACCATGTCGATGGCGAAAAAAGCTGCCATCATCAAGCTCGTTGACAGTGGCCGATCGCAGGCAGATGTTGTGAAAGAGTTCCATATTTCTAGACAGACTATTTCGGACTACATCAAAAATAAGCAGAAGATTTTGGAGGCGGCGGGAAAGTCTACTGAATGTCGTCAGAAGAATGTCAGCCAAGGCACCTACCCTAAGCTCAAGGAGGCCCTTCTTGTTTGGCCGAAGTCAACAGTGGCCAGCAAGGTTCCCGGCTCCGAAGCCTCCTCAAACACAAAGCTGAGATGATGGCGCTTCAAATGAACATTGAAGGATTTAAGTTCAGTGACGGCTGGCTAAGAAACTTCAAGAAGCGCTTTGATCTCTGTTTTAAAAAACTGTGCGGCGAAAGTGCAGCTGTTGACCTCAGCGTCGTTGCAAATTACCGCTCTGAAAAGCTGCAGTCCCTTTTACAAGAGTACTTGCCAGATGATACTTTCAACTGTGACGAGACCGGGCTTTTTTTCAGCTGATGCCAGAAAAGACACTGGCCTTTGCTGGCGACCCTTGCCATAGTGGCAAACACAGTAAGGAGCGAGTTACTGTACTGATCGGTAGCAACATGTCGGGCACAGAAAAACTGCCGATGCTCGTCATCGGCAAGTTGAAAGCTCCGAGGTGCTTCAAAGGCGTAAAGTTTCTGCCTGTTTTGTACGAGGCCGACAAAAAGTCCTGGGTAACTCAGCAGCTTTTTGAAAGCTATGTGAGAATACTCGACCGCAAATTTGATTTAGAAGGCCGCAAAATTGTCGACAACTGCGCTGCACACGGGCACATTACCAATTTGAAGGCTGTGCCCGTTGAGTTCTTGCCACCGAACACGACAAGTGTCTTACAACCGATGGACCATGGTGTCATACGCACTCTCAAAGTGAACTATCGATCACGCTTGCTTCCGCGTGCGGTGGTGTGCCTCAACAGTGGAAAAGCGTGCTCGGTCGATTTGCTTGGGGCACTTAGCATGCTCGCCAATGCGTGGAAGTCGATGGCATCAACAACGCTGCGCAACTGTTTCCGCCACACGGGATTTGTGTTGAATCGCGAGTCGGCCGCCTTGGACGAGGACAGCGTCGCCGAGCACGTTTTGGGAAGCGAGCAGCTTATCAACGACCTTTGCACTGCGGGCGTTGATATTTCATCAGATGTCTTGTTTTCCGAGTTTGCGTGTGTGGACAACGATTTGGAACTGTGCGCTGGCCTCATGGATGAGGAAATCATTCGGCAAGTGCTTGCGGAGTCCGAGAGTGACGAAGACGACGACTTACCTGCAACAGCACAGTTGACGCAAGCCGAGCTAATGCAAGCGATCGCAACCCTTTCGTCAGCATACAGCGACTCGGCAACTCTACCCGAAATGCGGGCGCAGGTGCTCGCACCGAAGCGAAGCATGGTCCAGAAGATGATCGATCACTTTTTCCGCCCACCATCTCAATAGTAACCAATAAAATGAGCATTTTTGGGGCACATTTGCTTTTTCGGACTGCCCGAATTTTCAGACATTTTCGTGGTCCCTTGAGGGTCGAAAAATTGGTCATCGACTGTACTTATAAGCTACTTTTAGGTAGCAGAGTTGTGCCAATGTTTTCGGGCGCCGCTCGGTTGGCCTTTGACAATTTCAGCAATGCTCAATGCTATTGGTGGAGCATCATCATGTGATGATGAGTGGTTCATTTGCACTGTGGAGAAGCCAACACTGCGCAGATGACGTTAACAACGCCGAACACTCCGCAGAGTACAGGCAGCTCAAGCACGGTTGACATCGGCTGTTGTTATTCTCGTCGCGCCAGAGAATACCTAGCCGCGCTTTTTCGGCGCTGTCACTAGGCTGCCTATCGGTCGCGAGAAATGTGGTAGCAAGTGCATTCTGTGTTGCATTGTACTACGCACAGCCCATGTGATTAGACGCATCGACAGCTATTTCGCTATGACAAGATGTTGTTCGCCGAACTGCCACAACTGCAGCAAAAATGTTAAGATGTTCCTCGGGGAGCCATGAGCGAAATGTGCGGCACAAGTAGGCCGCGGACTCCAGTGGTTTCTGCGTATGGGCCGTGACAAGCCGCCTCGAAAAGAGCTAAGTGCAGAGCACTAAATCTTTG